AAAAACCAAAAAAAAAAAAAAAAAAAAAAAGAGGTGATCGGATAGAGTCAACTGGGATGGGACAGAGGTACTATGTACTGTCACATCTTACACCTAAACGGGAACACCTCTATCTCTCTTTCTCCTGTCTTATCAATTATTTAGTCGGTCCATCTTTCGGTTTATTCCGGTACGATCCGGTTCGATTTATTTAGTTTTGTTCTCGGTCTGAGATGACTGAGCAATGGCTTTTATGTAATCGGTGTCTAGTCTTCAGTTGAATTCAATAAATTCCCTATAATCAATCCGATTTTATATATGGTAATGAATATTTTTTTCTATAAAAAAATCTGTTACTTGATAAAACCTAAGTATATCTCTACATAGTAATTCTCACAATATATTGAGGAAGATCTGAAAAAAAAATAAATAAACATACTGTTTGTGGGAACAAACAAGGAGTAACTAAAACCTCAATATTTTTTTTTTGAATAAAATTTGAATAAATATGTATTGTTTTTTATTCATGTAGTAATTTTGTGCAAATATATTTCATTATTTGATTTAAATATTTTAGTTGAGAATTAATCATCCATTAGTAATTAACAGTATCATGTTTATGGCATCAATAAATAATAAATAGCTTGTTTTTTTTCCACAATCAAGATGGTTTTATATATACGGGATTATAAATGACCTGTAAACAAACAAATAAATAAGTGAAATACAGTAAATATTTACCTGAATGGACGGAATTTTTTGGGCTCTATGGATATTTATTAATTTCATCATGGTGACAAAGGCCCAAATAAAGGTAGGCCCATTTGAAAAAACGCTATAATGTATGTATGTATGTAATATGTAATATATGCATATATATATATATATAACGCATGTGTGTACATGTATATGTATATATATGTATGTGTATAGAAATGGGTTATTGATGTGGATGGGTTTAATTGGGTTTTATGGGTCAATTTTATTTTTAATTTAATTTAAATGGGCTGGGCCGGGATGAGATGGGTTATAGCCCATTAACATGTAAAAAGGATGAGCTGGAATTAGAAAAACCCATTTGACCCTCTTAGGTATGCAAAACCCAACACCGCCATGAAAATTCCTCTCGTCATATAAAAAAGGACAACGAGTCTCTCACTGAATTAGAGGACCACCCTCTTTGGCATTCGCTCTCAATTTCAATCTCGGAGGCCGGAGCTATAATTTCTTCATTTATCGTCGATTAGGGTTTTCCCCCCTAAAGCCCTCCGCCCGTTGGTTTGGTTAGTCGAGGAGAGACCGAGAGAGAGAGAGAGATGGGGAAGAACGAGAAGACGGGGCTTGGACGAGCTCTGGTGAAGCACCATAACCATATGATACAGGAATCGAAGGCCAAGGGGAAGTACTACAATAGCCTGCAGAAGAAGGTTCTTGAATCCGTGACGGAGGTCAGCGACATTGACGCCGTCATCGAGCAGGCCGAGGAGGCTGACCGGATTTTCTCTCTCCACCGTGACTCCTCCGCGCCTCTGCCCATCAATCTGTGTGTACTCCCATCGCTTTTCCCTTGTGTTTGATTCTTTGATTCTTTGGTTCTTTTGGTCATCTTAATGATTTCTTGTTCTTGTTATATGGGATTTACGGTAGTTATTACAAGAACATGGAAGATGAATTTTTGTGACATGGTTCTTGACGAGTTCTGGTCTTGTTTATCTGATTTCTTCCTCGGTTACTGCCTATCAACAGGGACACAAGTTCAAGCTCGAGTGTCATAGCTGCTGAAGAATGGAAAGAGCAACAGAAGAGAGAGGAAGAGTTACATGCCAATTGTCTTCAAGTGCCCCGAAGGCATGTGATTTCAATTTGGAAAACTGGATCAGGTTTGATTTGTTTGGTCCAAACAGAGATAAAATGTGTCTTAAGCTTACATTTGCTTACCCTTTATCTGCAGGCCTCCATGGACACCTGAAATGTCTGTGGAAGAACTTGATGCTAATGAAAGACAATCTTTTCTGAGTTGGCGTCGGATGCTTGCTAGGTTAGCTCTGTTTCATCTCATCTGAATGTGTATATTTTCAGTTTTTTCTTTGTTGGAGTCTCGACCTGGAATGGTTATTTTAGATGGTAGAACGAATGAGTAATGGCCCATAATCGTTATCGAAACTTTTGTTCATTTTCAGCGAAGCCAAGGTCATTTTCTCAAATGTTCAAACACAATTTTCTTTGTGGGGTTACTGATAGAAGTGCATGTATCTAGAGGAAGCAAGAGTCGACAAAAGGGTCCTTAAGAAGTTTTATTTTTTGTCCAAATGCCATCTTGCATTCAAACAGTTTATAACCCAAGCTATCCCTTATTTGTCGCTGTTTTAGGTGTATAACTCGATCTCGTTATGTGCATTTATCCATCGGGTTTGCATTTATCTACTTGCTTTGATTCAGACTCGAGGAAAATGAAAAGCTTGTGTTGACCCCATTCGAAAAGAACCTGGACATCTGGAGACAGCTCTGGCGTGTGCTTGAACGTAGTGATTTGGTAAGGCCATTTTTCTCTATCAAACTTTGTTTTGCTTTTTAAGTTAATTTTCACAAAATCATTAGTTATATTCTTTTATCCCTGCATTCCTAGATCGTTATGGTTGTCGATGCTAGAGATCCGCTTTTCTACCGTTGCCCTGATCTTGAGGTACTGCATTCTTTCCCGGCTCGAAACTTTACCTTTGGTAAAATACTCATGGCTCCCGATTCCAACAGTTTACTTAATAATTTTTCCTCACCCACAGGCATATGCTCGAGAAATAGATGAGCATAAAAGAACGATGCTTCTGGTAAACAAAGCGGATCTTTTACCTTCTTATGTCAGGTAAGCGCTTTTCTTTTGGCCATGCTAAACTGCTAATGTATGTACTCTCAATCTTTTTGTGGTTTCAGTAAATGAGTTGGCTTTGCTTTTTATAATCTCAGGGAGAGGTGGGCAGAGTACTTCCGCCGCAACAATATCCTATTCGTCTTCTGGTCGGCCAAAGCTGCTACGGCTACTTTAGAAGGCAAAGTCCTGAAAGAACGATGGAGAGATCCCGATAATGCGCAGCAGAAAGACGACCCGGATGTTAAAATATATGGAAGGGATGAGCTTTTGGCTCGTTTACAGTTTGAGGCCGAAGAGATTGTTGAAATGAGGAAATCATCAGAGCCCTCGGCTACTGTATCTCGCCGCAAACATGTTATCGTTGGATTCGTCGGGTACCCTAACGTGGGGAAGAGTTCTAACATC